GGAAGTGTTCTCTGCCCGTTGTGTGTGACACTAGAGGGCATGAGCAAGACAACAAATGCCCCTGTCTGCCACCACTGAGAAGCTCAAGTGTAATAAAGGCCAACGAGCTTTTCTCAGTCTATCAGTAAAAGAGAAGAAAAGCAGACATGAGAGGTGTCCCCAGCTGGCAGGATGAGTGTCAGGGTGCCAAGTCTCAGCAAGGCCAACTGAGCAACGATTTTCTGAAGGCAATTCCAAAAGCTAATCCACCCCCGGCAGGAACAGGACATTTGTTTGCTTCACTGCTGTAACCTCACTAAGACTTTTTCGTTTTCTCATGACATCTTTTGCTAAGCCTGCATGGGAGGAAATGTGTTCCTCTGTGTGAGGCAAACACAGCCTGTGGACACACAGTGCCCTCCCTTCAGCTGTTGCTGAAATCTGCACAGAGGACAACAACTTTGAAGCTGCCCATCAACCCAACAGAGATCAGGGTGGCCCTGTGGGTTAAAAGATGCACTATCCCATTACCAGCTCAGTTTGGGTACCAGGTATGGCAACAGGGCTGTCTCCAGTGGCAGGCAGAGAGCTGCTGCACAGCAGGGCAGGGGAGGAAGAGTCAGGAAACCCTCGCTCTGTTCATGGCAAGAGCTCTCTTGGGTGTTTGTTCCACCTCAATTCCCAGATGAACTGGGGAGAGCTCCAGTATGTTCATCTGCCCTCTCACTGGGGATTCCGTAACTGGAGCAAATGTTGGCAAAATCCTGTAAGCCGTGTCACACACACATGTTCTGACACACAGCAGCTGTAGGTCTGCCTGTAGGGCAGGATCGCAGAAATACACAATTGTTTGGGTTGGAAGGGACCTTAGAGATCATCCAGGACAATCCCTTGCCATGGGCAGGGACACCTTCCACTATCCCAGGCTGCTCCAAGTCCTGCCCAATCTGGCCTTGGACACTTCCAGGGGCAGCCAGAGCTTCTCTGGGCAACCAGTGCCTTACCATCCTCACAGAGAGGAATTTATTCCCAATATCCAGTTTAACCCTGCCCTCTGTCAGTTTGAACCTGGGCTGGGGTGCATGGAAGGAAGAACCCTGATTTATTTCTCTTCAGCTCTAGGACAAGCTGGAGATTTTTTTTTTTCAGGACAAGAAATTTGTACAGGTGAGTATTTCTCCTCCCTTGCTCTGCTTGCATACCTTCTCTCTGTAGACAAACACCACCAGTTTTCTGGCAGAGACTCCCATGGGAAGGGTGTAGCAGGCCTGAGCACCCAGCATCTTTCCCATTTGTGCAGGAGTAGAAGGGTGGCTCCAGACTGGCAAGAGCTCTGCTGGTCCCAGGACCTCTCTGGGAAACCCAGGCACTGCAGTGACACTGAAACACCAAAGAGTGCAACATCCCTCCAGTATGAACACACTGCCAAGGCCTGGGATTCCTGCTCTGTGGGATATTCCCTGGCAAGGTCTCTGACTGTATCTGTCCCTCACTGACCTGTGACTTTATGGTCCAGACCAGTGTATGTGCAATCCTCCTCCTCAGCACAGCTAGTGACAGACCCTCCTTTGCCTCTGCACAGATTCCCTTCCTAGAGGGTGGAAAACACAGGGCTAAGCTGTGCTTCCATCTGACAGCAAATCCTGCTGTGCCATCAGACCATTCCCGGGTGGAGCCAGTTGCAGGGGTAGGAAGGGGCTGGAGCCCCCACTCAAGAAGCTGTTGGCAGCTTTGAAAACAAGCTGCTTTCCTCTGTCCTTTCAGAGTTTCCAGGCCGTGTCTCCATCACAAAGACGTTGTGCAACCCCAACATTTTGCAACTGCTGCCTGACCTGGCCACAGAGGCAGCACTCCGGGCTTCACCCTGTCCCCACGCCGGAGCAGCTCCAGCCTCCTCCCTGCCTGTGCTCCCCAGCCCATGCCAAGGCTGTCTGCACTCCTAGCATGCCAAAGCCTGGTTTAAAGCTGCATCTCAAGCTTTGCAGGAATTGCTGATGCAGTGGGTGGGAAGGAGCACATGAACATCACAGAATCCAGAATGGTTTGGGTTGGAAGAGACCTCAAAGTCCATCTGGTTCCACTCCTCTGCCATGGGCCAGACACCTTCCATTAGACCAGACTGAAGACTCATCCAGCCTGGCCTTGAACACTTCCAAGGATGAGGCAGACACAGCTTCTCTGGCCAACTTCCATTGTCTGGGGTGAGTCCATATCCTCTGATCACTCCAGACCCAAATTCATCACTTAGAACACTGGTCCCACTCCTGGAGCACCACTACTCTGGTAAATCCAGAGTGACTCCTTCAGAATATTCCAGACTTGCCTCTTGTAACATCTCCTCAAGCCTTGGCTAAACCTTGGCTAACCCCTGTCAGTGCAGTTATGGGAGAGCTGGAGATGAACCAATCCTGAACCAAATCTCAAAACTGGAGTCTTAGGTCGAGTCAAAGTCAAGGACAGCACAAAGCAAAACATCACATGAGCTTCAGCCACCCATATTTCAGCCCTGTGCCAGGACAGCATTAAATCTCCTTGTGCCACAGCACCAGAAGAACGTAGCTCAGGCAAGATCACCACATCACTGTTCTGGGAGAGACTTTGCCCCATTTTGGTGTCAGGAACAGGCAGAGCCTTTGCAGGGGTGGGTCAGGGAAGGCTGAGCCCTGCAGGGTGTTGCTGGATTAAAGCCTCTGCACGGATAAACACCTCTGAGTAAGAGGGAGAACTTAAAACTAATAACAACACTAAAACCTAAACAAACACTAAGGAGTTGAGGGCTTTACTTTGGAATAAAAGATTAATAAACATATTGATTGAGTCAAGGGGCTGGGACAAAGGCTGACAGCCGTGTTTATTTTTTAGCATCTATCTGTGGACTTACCAGGCTTTTGCCAAAGCCAAATATTGTGTTAAGGAAGTTTATGAACTGACACATGAAGTGTGGTTGGGTCATCTCCAGCTCAGCCCACGGTTGTCTGAGCATGGTGCCACCAAAATATGTCTGCAGGAGTCACAACAGCTTAACACGTGGGCCTAAACTATCACTAGCAGAGCATGATGAAGCCAAACAAGTGGCAGAGATTGAGGAATTCAGGCAGAAGACTGGGTGAAGGTAGGGCTGTTGGCAGACCCAGAGGTATTCCTGTCCCAGCTGCTGCTGAACACACCAAATTCTGCGAGAATTTAGGAAAAAACCAGAGCACTGCAGCAGCTCAGGCACTGCAGCAGTTCTGCTGTTGCCTCAGCTTTGGCATCTTGTGCCAACACCCGGGGACCACAACGGGCAAGGGGTGGGTCAATGCTTCTGCTGAGCTAAGTCTGAGCATAAAAAGGCTCAAAAATCCACCAAGGGGTTTGTGGAAGAGTCTTTCAAGACCTAACACTTGCAAAGTTGCAGCCATTGTCAGCGATCAACCTGCTGCACCCACCACACCTCCCTGCTTCCAGATCCTGACACGAGGAGCCAGACCCCTTCTGAAGCCTCTGTTTCCATGGTGTGCAAAGCCTCTGAACCACCAGGCATGCAAAAAACATATGGAAATCCCCAAAAAAATAATCCTTGGAGAGGTTTAACAGACTGACTGCAAGTAGATTTGTGGGGTTTTTCTCACCCTGCCTCCTTGTTAGACCCTTCCCATGCAGCTCAGTCAGCCTGGAAGAGCCTCACAGCACAGGGTCTGGCTCTCAGAGAAGCTGAACATCACACAATCCCACAGCAGCAGGAGCTGGGGGCTTCACAGACAGAGGACTGGATGGGAATGATGGTTTAGAGACTCTGGAGAAGCTGAGACCCTTCTGTTAAATCCCCACCTGCCTGCAAGGATGGACACAGGAGAGGCAGGGACCAGGGTGCTACAGCAATAAACCCAGAGCTGTGTTTCATATTGCTGTTGGTTTGAAACACCACTTTAAAAAAAAAAAACAAACAATTCTTACAGGAGAGAGAAAAGCCCAGAAGTCTTAAGTGACCATTTTAAAGCTTTTAGCTATTTAATTGTGGCTTTCCACACTCTGATAAAGAAACCAGGGCTGCTGCCACAAGAAGCCTCTCCTCCCCAAAATGCTCTCTGCATCCCTGATTTCTAGGAGATGCTGATAAAGCATCTTGGAGAGACTTCTGAATATGCCAGAGTGAAAGAGGACATGCAGCAAAGGTGACAGAGTGAGTGGGTGGGCAGGGGAGCTTCTGAACCCCACTGAGAAGATGCTGCATTCCTGCTCTCCCAAAGAAGGCTCACAGGTATCAATGGCTGTTTGAACACCATTTGTAGCTGCACTACAGCTTCACACAAAAACCAGTGCTGGACAGATCTCCAGTCACAGAGATCTCCATGTGTCCAAGCCTTGGGCTGGGCTCTGCACCATCCACCAAAGCCTGGCAAGGTCTCCATGGGGGAAGAACCACCCAGCTCTCCTGGGAAACACTGAGGACTGTCCATTGAACTCCTCAATCACCACCAGCTTCACATCTCTGCTCTGCAAACACAAGGGAATCTTTTCAGATACCCTGAAGCTGGTGGATTCCAGCTCTGCTTCCAAAACTTTTGCCTGCACTTAGGGTCGCAATCCCGTTTCTTCTCAGTAAGTCCTCAGCACACTTTTGGACTTGCCTCAAGGCCCCCCAGCTCACTTTTGGACATGAAACATCAGTTTCCTGCTTGCTTTAGGCACTCTTGAAAACATGAACTGTAAATCTACACAAAGCTGCATGAAACACAAGGGCTTCCCTTCAGTAAGGCACATTTTTTTCTCTAACTTTTTCTTACTCTTTGCTGTTTTTCCCTCCTCTCCAGCTCCCAGTTCTTTAAAACCCCACAACACTAGAAGGAAAAATAAAAACCCAACAAAGCAAGCAGGAAATAAAAAAAAAAAAAGCAGGTGAAGCACGAAAAAAAAAAAAAGAAAAAAAAAAGGAGTTTTCTATGGCCCAGATGAGTTTAACCCCTCTGCTAACCACGCCAAAGCAGCAATTCCTAGTGGCATGGGGGGGACTGTCCCCAGAGCCTCCCGTGGCTACTCACTGGTGCTTGTGCTAGTGCCGATGGTGTTGATGGTGGTGGGGACGGAGGAGGAGGAGTAGAGGGGCAGGTGGCCGTTCTCACAGGCCAGGCTTTTGTCCTGCCAGCTGGAGGCGCTGACGCTGATGCCGGAGTCCCTGGAGTTCTGCCACCCGTTGAGTTTGTCGTCGGAGTTCTGTCTTTGGTGATAGTAGTGAGCCTGCCCGTAGTCCACCGAGTCCGAGCGGCCGCGGCCCTGCCCGCCAAAGCCCGACGACGACGACGACGACGACGACGACGCGCGGTCCTCCAGGTGGTTGAGCCACATGGCCAGGGCGCTCCTGTCCTCCAGGGAGGTGGCAGGGTGTATCAAGGCGTAGGAGAGCAGCTGCCTGCTCTCCTCGATGTGCTGGTTGTGCTCGATGGAGTGCGCCAGGATTTTGGGCAAGAGTTTCATGTACTCGACTTTCGCCTCGATGTTGCCGGGTTTCAGTAAAGGCAGGTGGGTTAACAAGAGGGAGATCACTTTGTCCTTGGATTCCTGCTGCCACTGGTTAATGATTCCTGTGGAAGGAATAAGGAGGGGGGGAAAAAAGAGGAGATTAATGAGAAATTGAAAAACAGAGGTAATAAAGAAATAAGCGGGTCCTGGCAGGGTAAATACAACATGCCAAAATATGACACGCCAAAGGGATTTGCACATGTGTGGTACCACAGCATGAGCATCTCCTTGGCAGGGGGGTCACCACCCTCCAAAACCACTGTCAGGGCAAAGCTTGCCAAACTGGACACCAGAAGTTTCCAGATGCCCAGGAAAATCACTGAAAAAACCAAACTACACCCAGCTCTATGTGGGAAGTGCATTTATAGCCGTTTTCCAACTCTACTGCTCTTGCTCTTATTTTAATCAAAATCACAATTTGGCCCAAATTTTTCATATTGTTGCAGATAACAGAAAATACTACACAAAAGCACTCAGTGGATAAAGCTAACCTTTCAAAAGAACTTGGCTGGAAAATTGAAAAGGTCAAGATTCAAAGGAGGTAACACAGGAGAGAAACACAGAGGGAAGAAGCTTTCCAGAGGAAACACAATCATCCATCCAGGGTGTTGGTGCATCCACCAGCCCCAAAGGAAAGGAGGGAAGGGCTCAGCTAAAGCAGCCCCAGAGCTCCTGTTCCTCTGTTAGAGCACAGCAAATAGGAGAGGTTTCAGAAGACAAGGAAAAAAAATAAAAAAAGAAACCTAGGGGTTAGATTTGCAGATTCTGCATTATGCAGAAGGAAAAGTCAGGGAAATACAAACTGGTCACTTAACTCGAACTCCTGGAAAACTGATGGAACAAATAATGAAACAACCTATTTGTAAGCACTTAGAAGATAACAAGATGATAAGTGACTGCCGACACCCATTTGTCAAGAGCAATTTGATTTCCTTCTGCAACAGAGCAACTGGGCTGTGAATAGCTGGAGGAACAGACAGTGCTGTATATCTTGATATTCATTAGGTGCTGCTGCACATGGCTCCCTCAGCAGCACAGCAGAGAGAAACTGCTCTAATGTGGGCACACAACTCATCTGAAAAACATATGGAGGGAGCTGGTGGTGCTGATTCACTGTCAGACTGGGAGGATGCGCTGGGCAAGGAGACCTGGCCTGGGCCTGGCAGCACCCAGAATGTCACTGGTGATAAGGGTGATGTGATAAATGTGATCAGCATGCAGGTATCGTGCTAAGAGAAAGGAAAACACTCCAGGGAATTGGACTAGAGGTCAAACAGTGTTGAGGATTCGAAGGGGTGGCATGAAGCTGGGTCAGGAAAAGGTTCTTCCCCCAGAGGGTGGTGGGGCACTGAGCAGGCTCCCCAGGGACTGGACACAGCACGAGCCTGCCAGAGCTCCAGGAGAATTTGGACAATGCTCTCAAGCACAGGATGGGATGTTGGAGTGTCCTCTGCAGGGTCAGGAGCTGGACTTGATGATCCTCGTGGGTCCCCTTCCAGCTCAGGATATTCTATCAGACTTGGGGAGATGTGAAAGAACATCTGCATGAAGCAGGTGCAAACATCTGCATGCAGGTGGGAACAAATGTCTGTGCAGCACAAGATGGGCAAGAGCCTGGCTTGGGAAGCAGCACATCAGTCAATACCATGCTGCACAGAAAAGCTGCACCAGGCAGCCTGACCCTGGCTGAGAGGTGAACACTGCCATGGACAAGCTGCTCTCCACATCTGCTGCTGCCCTGGGAAATGCTGGAGTCACCATCTCTGGAGGGATTTAACAGCTGTGAGGATGTGGTCCTTGGGGACAAGAGTCAGTGGTGGCCTTGGCAGTGCTGGGGGATGGTTGAACTCAGTGATCTTGGAGGAAATTTCCAAACCAAACAATTCTGTGATTCTCTGACTTGAACTGCAGCAAAGATGAATGAGGTTGGACGTGATGAAACTGCCTTCTGTAGGGCAGGATGGCCCAGGACACTGTGAGATCTCCATCACCAGAGGTTTCTCTGAAGAGCTGATACCAACTCCAAACACCTGCCAAATCTACCCAGACCAGCCATAAGACATTCCCAGCCCCAGGGCAGTCTCTCCTCCAGTCCAGTGCTGACCAAACCCCTCTGTAAAGCCTTCAAACTTTCAGCCCTGTCTTAGGCTGTGCTACAGGAGCCACAACTGAACTCTGTGGTGGAGAACAGTACCTCCTGCTTGCTTTGAACATGCTGCTCAAAACTTCATCAGGTGAAATGCTGAAAAAATCACCCAAAACTCTACGTTCTCTCTCCCTGTCTGCTGTCTTCAACCCATTCTGTACAGGAAGCTGCTCTAAATCATTGATTATCCCTATAGCCTCTCTGTGGTTTTGAGTAGGATAACTGAACCCACACCACTGAAATGCAGATCCAGATCTCCATCTGTAGGACCATTCATCAGGAAATCAATATCCAGCTCAGGATATTCTGTGACCCAGGAAATGGACTCTACGATCCATGTGGGTCCCCTCCACCTCAGGATATTCCATGATTCTGCATGACCCATGCTGCCAGCCAGCAGCTAACCCAATCCTCCCACCACACCTGACCCAGATGAGAGATGTTAAAGCAGCAACTTCTCCCAGTTAGGGCCAAACTCTGTCCATCAGTTTCCTGATATGACTGTGGTGGTGAGCAGCACTCACCCCTCCACATTCATCCTCCCAGTTCCAAGGCATGCAACTGTTTTAATAGCAAGCCACTAGATGGCTTGCTGGAAACACTGGAGACTCTCCCTGGAACTTTCTGCACTGGTATTTACTTCTCCACAGAGCTCCCCCTCCTCCAGAGCCACTTCCTGAGCAGCCACAGCGTGCCCGAGCTGTCCGGTGCCAAAAGGAGCAAGGGACACGACGTGGCACAGCTCTGGTGGAGAAGGAACTGCTGTATTGCAGCAGAGGGGACTTTTGGTACTCTGAGTGTGTTCCTGTGCCTGTGGGAATGCTGTGAGGTTGTTTTGGTGCTAAAAAAACGGGATTTGGGAGAGCAACACTCAGCAAAAGTGATGCTGTAAAGGATGCACGAGTGTAGTGGGACTCAAGGCTCACCAGTGCATATCCATATTTTCCATATGCAGATGTCCCTGCTCCAGGCAAAGCTTCCTGCTGGGATGAATCTGATTTATCTGTCCCCTCTCTCTTAGCCAGCTGCCTGGTGAGTTGAAAACATGTCTTATTTTCTCCCATCCTCCTGCAGAGAGGGATGTCACACCCCGATATTTTATCATTGCTCTCGTGGTGGTTCAGCAGCACTTTCAGGCTGGCACAGCCAAACCCCAGCCTGGCACCAGCTGGGATTCTGTAGCAGCTCAGATAAACTGAGAAATCAAAGATCATTAAAAAAACAAAAGGCCTGAAATGCACTGCTCAAGGAAGTTGGTGCCACTTAAAACAGGAGCAAAATACAGGTGGAAAAAGCCGAGTCTGGTGTAAACTGGGTGCAGGAGAGGAGGAGGAGGAGGGAGGCAGGTGGCTGTGGCTGGGCTCCTCCTCCTCACATGGGGGAGAGCTGAGCATGAAGGTCCCCACTGGGGAAACACAGGATGGCGCCAGAGCTGCTTCTTGGGAACTTTGCCTTGGACCTCCAAGAGATTTGGGGGTTTAAACACAACCCCAGAAGATGGAGCACTGACCCAGAAGCCTGTGGCTGATGAAGGGCTGGGTGCCCCGGCCCAGGCAGGAGCTGGTCTCCTTCTCAGCCAGCAGCAGGATGTGCACAATTAAACAAAAATGGAAAATAATTAGATCTGAAAGAGGTTTGGCTCTCTCTGAGATAGGGCGGAAGGTCAGGCTTAATCCTATCTGCCAGAAAATAGAGGGATCTGGAGAGGGCAGTGCAGGAGAGGGAGAGCTGGAGCTGCTTGTGGGCAGGGGCAGAGGGGCTGGCAACACCCCACAGCCCCTCTCCACACTCTCCTTGAACACAGGGGTCCCCCCTTCAGCCCCTCACCTGCTCCCATGCTCTCCTGGCCATCTGGGATATCTCATCCTTTACTGCCAGAACAAACAGCTGAGATTAGGATGTGTTCTGGGATCCCACATCCCAGGGTCCTGACACGATACCCGTGGTGGGTCACAGGCACTAATTACAGGACAGCCTCATTAGCTCCCCTGGATGCTGCTTCAGGGATGCCTGGTGCTTCCCATCACCAGGATTTCACTGATCTGTGGAATGTCACAGCTGCTGACAAATCTGAGCACAGAGACAGCCCCAAAGTCAGCGTCCCCCCCTTGCTGCCTTGAAATCCCCCAAAATCCCTGTCCTGCCCACTGCTGCCATTGAACTGCCATCTCCTTTTGGAGATGAGGTAAGATAACAACTGACCAGCCCTGCACTGGGAAGGGATGGGAGCTGCTGGCACCCCCGAAGCAGAAAATCCCAGTTTTTATTATGGGACGTTTTCTTGGATGAAAAGCTGAATGAAGGTGGGATGTGAAACTACCTTCTACTGAAGGATTACTTAACTGACAGGATTTTGCTGCTAGACAGCCCAGCTGATGCATGTGCAGCATGCCTGTGGATAAATCCAGCTCCAAATATAGCCAGGTCCTGCTTCCAAGACTGAAACCTGTGCTTGTGCTATGAATAGGACCAACACCATCCCCAAAACTGGGGCTTCTGGCTGGAAAAAGAGGTGAAGTTTGTAAATTTATTAAGCTGTTAAGGGATTTCTCTGTCACAGATCTGCATAATCACTGCTGGATCCCTGCAAACTGTTAATTGCCACCATGTCCAGTGGTGATGGATCCACCCCTAACGCTGCACTGCACGAGGGACCTTCCTGCCTTGACTCTGAACCTGCCTCCTGAGGGGTGAAGGGGTTATTTCAACCACCAGCAATGCTCATGGTTATGATGTCCTGGGAACAGCCACAGTTTTCCAAATGTAAAGCCAGACCAGATGGACAAAGGCAGGGACAGACACAGTCCCTGCAAAAAACAACACGAGCAGCACACTGGTGCCTGCATTTGCAAATCCCGAAGGGCCAAACTGCAGGGGTTTAATTCTAGTTTTGGTTTTTGTGAACAGACTTCTGGG